TACCAGCTGGAAGAAGAATTATTGTTTTGTGCTGAAGGAACATGGATGTGTAAAATCTTTTCCTCCAAAGAATAGGACATCCTTCCCACCAAGATATTGAAGGAAAGATCTGTTTTTGTCACACACCTCTGTTGTGTCATTCAGCTTTTAGTTGTTTTAATAAAATACCCGAGATAATCAGTTTATAAAGAGAAGAGGTGTCATTTGGCACATGGTTTTGGAGGGTGTGGTTGAGGATGAATGGGCTCCAAGATAGGGAGGCACATTACAGTGGGAGCAGGTCAGGAAGAGCAGGACCACTTCCCTCCTCATCCCAGAAACAAAAGAGAAGAGGAAAGCCTGGGCCCCACAGTCAGTGTGGACAGACCATCCCTCAATGACATATGTCTTTCCTATTAAGTCCCACCTTTTATAGTTTCTGTCACATCCCATTCGTAGCACTTGGGCAAATAAACCTCTAGCACAGGCCTCTTTGGGGGACACGTATCCTAACCATACACGTGTTAAAGGAAATCTGGGTTAGCAGGGAGGAAGAAAAGTCAGGCCTATATTTGAAAGCAACTGAAGACTTCAGTTTGAAATTGAAGAGTGAGGCAAAATACAAACCAGAGGTGAAACAATTCCTTCAATTCTTATAGGACCCATGTTTGCCTGGTAAAGTGATTGGGATATTAGGCCTAGTGCTCATTTTACTGACTGAGAAAAATCCAACCAATTCAATCTGAAATCCAACTTCTGGGAGGATCAGCTCTCCATTCCTAACAAGTCTGGATTGGAATCAGGATGTGGCCTTTCCGTTCTCTCACTAGCTATTTTGGGTTATGTTTTCCTGAAGGAAGCCTTCATCATTAAATTTGCAGATGTTACTTCTAGTTCTTCACGTCTTGTAAGCTTGTCTTTATTTGCAGGAAACAAGTTTAGTTAGGTAAGTACACACATTTTCTTTCAAGGGACTTTGTGTCCTGATTGAAATGTTTCTGTTTTAGGGGAAAATGTTTACCTTTAGTGTTTTTCAGAGTTCGTGGTCCAAGCCTATAACTCAAGGAACATGCCTCCATCCTAGGACTAATAAAATCAGCTGCACTACACTTACAAGAAATCAAAATGCCAAGGAACCACGTTAGAACCCAAAGGAAGATGTGGGTTTGTGAGTGAGGGGAGAGTTCTACAACTGCTTGGCACAAAGATGCACAGTGGGTACAGATTTGCCCCAGTCAGGCACAGTGGGCGGTGGGGCATTGTTTAGGAGGTGGGGCCTCATGGGAGGAAGTTAGGTTAAGGAAGCCCGTAAAGGGGATCGTGGGATCTGGTTTCTTCTTGTCCCTCCTTTTTGCTTCTCAGCCACCAGGAGGTGAGCAGCCTTCTACCCCATGTCTGGTCACAGCCAAAGCAATGACAGATGACCATAGGATGGAACCTCTGAACCAAATGAGACAAAAGAAACATTTTCCTTTATTAAGTTGATTGCCTCAGGTATGTTGTTGTAGTGACAGAAAGCTAACACAACAGGTGACCTTTCATTAATTGTCAGAGCATCACTACAAGGTAGATACTATTATTGTTAAATATAAAAGTGAGAAAATTGAGGCTTAGTGAGTGTAAGTTAATCACCCAGTGAGCAGTCAGCAGCTGAGGGAAAGTCATAATTTAAAGGCCATGCTGATTCTAGAATCTTTTCCTTCTTCCCTGTTCATCCTTTTCTAACTCCCTCAGTTTCCACTTAGGGATGTGTGTGATTCCACTGCGGCTAACTTTGATTCATTTGCATAGGTAGGACATGCGGCTTGGGTTAAGTCAATTAGGGCAGGGCCAAAGTGATTGGTCAACAGTGGTCATGTGACTGAAGCCATTCCAATAAAAATGAATGGCAGGGTCTTGAGATAAAAGTGTGCTTTTTAAGCAGCTAGTATCAATCCATCAACAGATGAAGAAATAGAGAAAATGTATTTACACATAAAGAAGTACTACTCTGCTATAAAGAAGGATAGATTTGAGACATTTGTAGGAAAATGATGCATCTGGAAAATATAATGTTGAATGAAATAAACCAGTCACACAAGCTTAAGTATCATGTGATATCTCTCATTTGAGTAAAACAAGGTACAAACAAAGAGAATGACAAAAGATGGATAGAAGAAGAAAAGGGGATGGATCTGTGCAAACAGGAAGGGGTCCAGGAGACAGGGGGAGGGGAGAAGAAGGGGGGCAGTAAATAGAATTAAGAAATGTCATGTATAGGAATCTAATAACCTCAATGAATGTACATAGTATATATCATAAACATGAGCTAAGAATAATAACAAAAACAAAAATGGAGGAAGATTTAGAGATAGAGGGAGGGGCATTAGTGGGAAGGAGACTAAAAGGGGAACCAAGCTGTGTTAAGTACTACTCCCCGAAATGGTTGTGGGCATCATGTACTGCAAGCATGTACTAAAGGAAAAAACTAGAAGAAAGTGTCTTTTCCTCTGTATCTCGGACGGTGCGGGTGTGGGGTACCCACTGCCGAACTGACTCGCTGTTACAGGAAAGCCGCTGAGGGTGAAGCCATATTCAGGGAGGCCTGGGCTGAAGGATTTCAGTGAGACACAGGTGCACCCTGGCTGATGCCTGAGTTGCCTCAGAGCTCAGTAGCTCCAGTGGCCACCCGCATCCCCATATATTCGGGCCAGACTGAGCTCACTTCTCCTTCACTGTAAGGGATATGACCACCCTGTCTTTATCATTCTGCCTGGACCCCTGCCAAACAGAGTTTCTGGTGGCAGGTGGAACATCCCTCGAAAACGCAGGAGAAAGAAGCTATGCAGAGAGGTTGAGTTTCTCTTCAAGACGTAAAGCAAACCTCTCAGGCACCAAGTTGATTGGAACTGGCTGATCTTCCCGAGCATTCTTTGGTTCTCCGCACAGTATAATTCTCAACTGCGCTGGATTTTCTGATTTTTTTTCTTCCTGAAGGTCTGCGGTGTACACATTTTCATTGTTTCTAATGGTGATTTTTAAAGCAGTAGCAAATTCTGTACACTAGAAGAGAAATAAATCTGGGTTCTTGGATGGCTTAAGGGGAGCTTCTCCATTCCCACACCGCTGCTCACCCCAGAGGTGGTTTGCAGGATCTGATTCCCCTTCACACCTCCCGCACTGCCAAATCCACGCTGGGCCTCAGTGACTGCGTTCTGCCAGGGTGTTAAATACTGATAATGACTCTGGCCACGTCTCCTGCGAGGGCTGACTGTGCTTTAACAGGAGACTCACGCACGCTGAAAAATGTTCTCAGTTTGCAGGAGTGAGACTCACGGTGAAGACAAAAGCCGATGACAGGACATTAAGCAAAGATATCTTTGGGGACAGAGAAAGTTGTTTTCTTTTTCTCTCACGTCGTGCCCTTAGTGAAACTCCTGTGTACTGGTGTATTCTTTTAGCCATGCCAAGGGCCAGACTGATATATGGAAATTCTGCTCTTATCTGAACTATAACGTCTGCATCTCAAGTTCAAGCTCAAGAGAAGGGTAAGGGGGCAGGGAACAGTTGAGTTTCATGTGTGCACTCAGAAGGCTGGGACAGCTGTGCTGAGCCATTGGGACATGTGACGTGTGTGACACACAGTCTCTTTCTGGCCTTTCCCAGCTGGAGGAGAAAGAGTGGGGCACATGTCTCAAGATAGAGGCACCAGTGAAGGGTTGAGTGCTTGCTGCTCATGCACATAATGGTGCTGTCCCCATGTGCTCCTGAGCCTAGTGGGGCCATGGGTGCTTTTCCTCCCAAGCACTATGGGCCTAGGAGGGGACCCTGCTATTGTTTTGTTTGTCTGTGACCCAGAAAAGCTCAGACACTGGCTCTGACTTGGCAGGCATTTTTTGCCTGGCCATTCCAGGAGGTTTAATTGTGTCCATGCAGGAATTACCAGCAACTAACAGCTTTGAACTGTTTTGCCTCTCCTAGTCGTTAATGTAGTGGTACTTTTCTGGACATGCAAAACAGCAAATGATAAAGTCAATCTACCCACCGTACTGCAGCCCCTCTACAGGTGCAAGAAGCCAGGTCTTGGGCCAGAGACACTGGAAAGAGGGCTGAGACCAAGGCACAGGTTGGGGAGGGGATGTAGAGCCTACCATGCCACCTCCAGGGGCTGAAGAGGCGGTCTTGTGAGATAAGGGCTTTGACAATGGGATGGGCAACTTGTTCACTGATAGAGATATTGAAGAAGGTATTTGTATATGTGAAATATACATGGAGGATACTATGGACATGTGGCTTCTTAATATTTCAGGGCCTTGTAGCCCTGTGGAGGCAGGGGCAGTGTCTGTTTTGCTCCCTGTTGTACCCTAAGAGCACAGTTCCAGGTAGGTTCAGTGTTCATTCACGATTCCTTGGCGGACTGACTCACTGGATACAGGAATTTGTGCTGTCATGTGCTGAGGTCAGGTACAGTCATGCTTTGGGGGATGCTGTAGTTGGTACTGAATGTCCCCCAGAGGCCTATGTGTTAAAGGGTGAGTTCCCAGGGTGACACTTTTGGGAATGAACAGAACCCATAAGAGGTGGGGCCTAGTGGGAGGTCTTTAGGGACAGAGGGGCCCTGGCCCCCTCTTCCAGCTCCTGGCTTGGGAAACGAGTGGCTTTGCCTACCACACACTTCCACCACAATGAACTGCCTCACCCTAGGCTGAAGCAATGGGACCAACCGCCCAAGGATGGAGCGTCCCAAACCAGGAGCCTAGATAAAGCTTTTCTCTTTATAAATTGATCATTTCAGCTGTTCTTTTTTATAGTGACATAAAACTGAATAACACAGAGAATGAAGCGTCTCGGCCTCCTGGTCCAAAGGCAGTGTGTGCTGGAGCTGCAGCGCACACCTTGCCAGTAGAGTCCAGATAGATGTCATCCTCCTGGGTTTCTCAGACCCGCTTATGCTGTGCTAGAGGCCAACATTCACATCTGGAGGAAATGACTTTTAACCACAATGTTACATCGAGATTCTTTGAAAAAGACATAGTACCAGCTGTGGGCCACATTCTTTATTCTGGCTGCTGAGAGAAAATGCTCCTAAGGAGTTCGGTAAGAGGAGACCAGGTGAGGGCTGAATCCCTAGGGAAGGAAGGACTCTTGAGGCTGCTCAGTGTGTACTGGGAGGCTCCTGAGAAGCAGATAATCCAGAGTCAGGGCACCTCTGACCTGGGGGTTGAAATTAGCAGCTATGCTTGTTGGGAAGCTTCTGGGTACAGCTCGTCTCTGCCATCAGCTGGCTCTCCTTCCAAGTGGGTTGAATCTGTACACATTGGTGTTCCCGTGAGTCTGAGCTTACTGTGCTTTTGCCTGCAGACCAAGGTCAGGAGCAAATGACAGTAGCATTGGCACAAGCCAAGGTGGTACGTTTTTCATTATACAGTTCCAGCAAAACCTGGTATTTTCCCTACAAAAGATACAGGTGAAACATTGAGCATGAGACCAACAGTGCAGTTGAGCATTTCACAAGTACAGTCAGCCCTGTATGCCTAAGGACATAACATCCACAGATTCAGCCAACTGTGGATCAGAAATCTTCCCCAAATGCAGGGTGGTATCCTCACCATGTAGACACTTTCTTGCTGTCAATCCTTGATCAATATGGTATAACAGAGGCTGACATAGCATCTACATTGTACTCAGGTATTGAATGTCATCGAAAGATGATTTAAAGTATACAAGAGGCACTGCCTGTTAGAGAGATGCAAATTAAAACAACACTGAGATGCCCTCTTACCCCAGAAGAATGGCCATCATCAAGAAATCAAATAATAGCAAACACTGGAGAAGCTGCAGGGGAAAAGGATCCTTCCACACCATCAGTTGGAATTTACACTGGTACCACCACTATGGAAATCAGTATGGAGATTCCTTAAAAAATGAAAACTAGAAATTACATCTGACCCGGCTATACGCCATCTAGGTATCTTCCTCAAAGGGTTAAAGATATCATATTATAGTGATCCATGCATACATATATTTTAGCTGCAGAACTCATAACTGAATCTTGGAAGCAGGCTATATTTCATCAAGAGATGAATGGATAAAGGAAATGTGACATACACCCAATGGAGTACTACTCTGCCATTAGGAAAGATAAACTTGAGTCATTTGTGGGAAAATGGATGCATCTTGAGACCCTAGTGTGAAGTGAAATAAATCAGACATACAAGCTTAAATACCACATGATTTCTCTAATATGAGAAACCAGAAATATAAGTAAAAAGCAGATGATAGAAGAGTAAAGGTAGATGATAGAAGTAGGGAGATAGATCTTTTGCAAATGGGAAGCAGACTAAGAAATGGAGGGGTGGGGAGAAAAGGGATGAAAACAGAATTGAAACATGCTATGTACACGTACCAACTCCCCACAAGAAATGTAAACATGCACTACAAATATGTACTGATAAAAAATAACATACACAGGACGATGTGTACAGATTCCATACTGCACCATTTTATATAAGGGACATGAGCATCAGTGGATTTTGGCATTGACGGGGCCTGGAACAAATCCCCTATGGATACTGAGGGTCTGCTATGTTTATTGAGTGCCACAAGGAGTTAGGTACAGTGACACCATCTAACGCCAGGCCTGAGGAGCTTGTGGTCTTGTCGAGAGAGACACACAATTCTCATGGTAAACTCATGTAGTGGAGGTGTGGACGGGACCAACGCTGGTTTCAATTTTAAGTAAGGTGGTCAAGGAAACCCTGCTGGGAAGATGACATTTAGGCAAAGAGCTGAAGGAAGTGCAGGCGGGCACTGCACTACCATTGGCCTGATGTCAATCAGGAAGCTACTGGGGCTGCAGGGAGAGGAGGAGGGAGAGGAAGGCAGTTTGGGAGTCCATAGGAGGCTGAGTTCTTAGGGTGTCATGTGACCCGCTGGGGCTACCAGTTCCAACCTGAAAGGGACTGGGGCATGAGTTTCCCCAGAGGAGGTCTGATCTGGTAATAAGATCTCACAGCAGACACACTGGAAAGAAGCCATAGGGAGAGGATGCAGCTGAGAGTTTAGGGAGGAGGTGGTTAGTCATCCAGGTGAGAGATGGAACACTTGGTGGAGATGGAGAGAAGGGCTTGGGTTCGGGGTAGTGTTTGAAAGAAGAGCCTCTGCTATTTGCTGGGGGTGCCCACATGGATAGTGGAAGGGAAAGAGACAGAATAAAGTCAACTCCACAGCTCCCGGCCTGTGTAACTGGCAATGATGAAGTGTCATGTGCTGGAACAGAGAAGACCCCTGGAGGAACTAAATCCAACAGAGAAACCCAAAATGCTCTATCAGAAAAAGTAGCACCATCTTTCAGATTCCTGTCTGGCAAGAGCGCTCCAGAGAGGGAGCCCTTACAGTTCTAGCTGCCATGTAATTGCTTAGAAGGTGCCATGCCAGCCACTCCTGGTGAGGAATTGTTGGACAATCCCTGGGGTTGGCCCGCTTGTGCCTTGCTGTGTGCCAAAGCGACCTCCCCCACCCTGCCATGCACAGGCGGTTGTGCGTCTTGACTCACTGATCTGGAGAAGGAAAGCCTAGGGGCAGTGGCAAGCAGCAGAATGACTGAAAAAGATGAATGCACAAGAAATGCCTGGCATATCTTTGAACTGCCTGTCACCCAAAGGAGGAGAGGAATTTAATCTGTCCAAAGCCAGAGGGAAGGAATAAATCAGGCCACTGGATCGAAGTTGCATGAGAAGTTGTTCTTGCTAGCAGAGCACAACTTTCTAGCAATTCACAAAGGCTCAGAAGGGAGCTGATGCCCCAACACTGGAAACTGCATCCGATAGAGCCAGGCTGTGCTCTGGACAGGGCCTTGGGTGTGAGGACTGGTGAGAGCAGAGATGGTGAACCTTTTAGAGACAGAGTGCCCACGCTGCAACCCCAAACTCAATGTTGAAAGTCCCAGCACTGCAATTAAACCTGAATACTAAGGTTTTAGTTTATGTAAAACAACTGTTCTCCAGTGCTTGGCTGCTGGAGCAACTTGGCTTACATGCCAACAGAGAAGGTTCTATGTACCCACTGTGTACCACTGTGGCACATGTGCTGTAGGTTTGTCACCACTAGATTAGAGCAACCTTAAGCATCATTCACCTTGAGGATTCCGCACTTCTGTAAGTCAAATATCAAGCAGCTGTAGTGTTAGAAATAATGTTAGGAGTTTTATCAAAGCAGTGTACTGTACACTGCTGTGGTAAAGAGAACTGATTGAGTTTGGTCAACTCAGATTTGCATCTGATTGCATTTCACCACCATCATCATGATTGTCGTCATCATCATCATCATCTATTTTTCTTTTAACTCTATGTGCATGTATGAAATTGTTGAAAACCAAATGACTCTTTCATTATTGTCTTAGGAGCCCAAGAGAAGATGTAGATTAGAAGGAAAGGGTTCTGCACTATGTTTTTTTTTTTTTTT